TCACCCTTCCTGCGGGTACAGAGGACAAAGTGAAAAGGTGGACTCTGAAGAAAATGGCAGAACAGTTTCAGAGCTTCAAGGGAGATCTGTACCAGAAGTATATACTGAAGGGGCAGACACCGAACTTCGACACATTCCCAAAGCTAAGGGATCACTGGGACGAGTTCGTTGCATATAAGACAGGTGAACAAGGGCAGGCGATGATGGAAAGAAACAAAGAAAATGCCGCCAAGAAGAAGTACCATCACCACTTGGGGTCAGGAGGCTATAGCGTCGCGATGCCGAAGTGGGAGCAGATGGAGGCTAGCTTGATTGAGAGGGGTATCGAACCGGCAACAGCCAATTGGCTGGAACGATCGAAGTTCTGGTACTATGCTCACGGTGGAACGCTCAACCCAGCTGATGGCTCACTGAACGCTGAAGAAAGCATCTTCTGGAAAGTCCAAACCAGTCCCTCAGCTTGGAGAGCAACCAAACCAGGAGATCGAGCCGTTGGTGACCGGTAAAGAAATGACGATAGAACAATTTATTACTGACACCGGTCTAACTACGGATCAATTGCTAGGAGTCGCACCAATCGAAAAGGCGGAAGTGAAATACATGTACGAACTCGGTAAACCGCTTGTCAAGCCTGAGCTGCTGCAGTCCCTACCCACACAAATGTACAAGTTCCATCAGCTGTAGCTGGAGATGAGCGCCACCGGTAGAGAGATGATCGGAGCGAGGATCAGGGACACGGACTTCTTGCAAGGAGATGACATTCTCTGGATCAATTTCAGGGGAATCTACGAACTATACCAGCTGGACGCCCTCGACGTCTCTATTATGAGTTGCTGGATTTTGTAAGTATATCGTTCAGTTAGATTTCTTACTATACGTCTCCTTTAATTAATTAGGTCCTTGTATATAAGTAGACCATAGAAAATAATATACTCCTTTTTATCGTTGTAGAATGGAGATTCAAAGGGCCCGACGGCGGAGGGTTTTCGATACTGGATTCATCGACCCTCGGAAAGTAAACGTCGCAATGCTCGACCAATATCCACAAGAAACAGAGGACAATCTCGTCCATCTCCTGAAGGCGCAGCATTACAAGACGTTCATACTGTTGCCATACAACACAGAGTTAGTTTAATTTTACTGTCTTCCTACATACCAAATTTCATTCCCGTACGAACTTGCTAAGTGTTTCATATGTAATGCATCCCACGCACATTGCAGATTCCACTGGGTGCTTTTACTCATCGACCTGGAGGCCTGCACCGTCAACGTATATGACTCAATGGATAAAAAAGAGTCTACGTTTGACAAGGTTTTCGAACTTATAGACAGGTACCGTCATAAGTTCCTTTGTTAATTAAGAAAATCTTGTTATGTTAATTGCTACTACGAATCATAGCTTTAAACTCCATGTAGGGCTTGGTATCGGTTCCGTCTTTTGGTCCGCGGCAAATGGAGAGAAAGACTTAGGCGGAAGTTCAAATTTCCTGTGAGTACACATGCTCTACATTTATATTTCTCCGATTCAAATACATACAAGTGTATATTAATTAGATCTCTCGTTGTTTGTCATTTATTTGTAGTGCGCAAAGCAAAAGCAGGGAACTAACTTGTGCGGCTATTACGTGTGCGAGTATTGCCACTGCCTTGCAGACCAAATCATCACCACAAGAGAGCTCGATGTACGTACAAATAAATTCAAAATTTCATTACGTAGCGATTTCTTGTTTAATTACTAATCAATTTCATACATTCATATAGTTTATTCGCATGAGGGATAACCTGACCACACACAAGGAATTTATCGCGGCGGTTCAAGAACAACTCATGGGATTCATCAACGAAGAAATCCTTGATCCCAAGGGTAAATTCTACTACGACGGAAACACAATTCACCGGTCCTTAGCTTCTGAGCTAGCAGCGAGTACTACTACGTCGAAATCGTAGCTAGCTAGGACATATAATGGATTGTAATTAATACATGACTACATATGTTTCTATATGCATGTGTACACATTTTCTATAATGTAAATATATTTTGTTCATATATATATCTATATACATATGCATTTGCATAACATATATATGTATAAATACATATATATTATGCATGTATATACATATAATATAATATAATATAATATATATACATATATATATGTATGCATATATATGTATTGAAACATATATATGCATGGTTTATATATATATATATATATATATATATATATATATATATATAAACCATGCAGCAACAGGGGCATGCAAAAAAAAAAAAGGTCAGCTCGATCTTTAGTCCCGGTTGGTGTTACCAACCGGGACTAAAGATCGATCTTTACTCCCGGTTATTTCACCCGGGACTAAAGATAGCGATCTTTAGTCCCGGATTGGTACTCCCGGTTTGGAAACCGGGACTAAAGGGGGGTTACGAGCCGGGACTACAAAGAGTTTCTCCACCAGTGGGCGGCGCTCCGCCGCGCCGTGAACGTGCACGGTAGTGCTAGTGTTGAGCACCAGTAGCACTACACGGCGAGCCTGCTCATCGTCGTTGATACCGGTCTCGCTACTAAGCCTGCGGGGCCATGGTGTTGTCTCGTCCTGGAGTAGCGCCCGTGACATAAGCCACCAGTTACGCAAGTAATCTACTTGCCGCTCGTTGAGGCTGATTTGGCCATCGTTCACGGCGTCGTAGTGCAGAGCCATCCTCGCGCCCTCGCAGAAGACGACGGTCAGGTGCACCAGATCCAGTTTGGTGTCATCGTCTGCAGCGCCATATGGATCAGGTGGTTGTTCGTAGCCCGACAGCTTATGGACGGCATCCAGCAGGACGACCTGTCGCAGGTCAATATCATTAACCAACATATTCTTAACGTCGTCTTCATCGCGACCACCAAGTAAGCTTGGGTAGCTGCCGTCGCATCCCAGAAATGTGGATGGCTCAGGGAGAATCGGCTTGCTCATCCCCGAGAAGCCCATGTGGAACCATTGTCCTTTCAGGTTCCTGAAGCCGATGAGGTTGACATTGTCATCCCGGACGGCTAAGGTTGCTCTGTCGTCGCCGTTGCCCACCAGGTTGATGTACATCCACCTCGCCGGCTGTTTTGGGCATCGTTGCATCGCGAGTACGGGACAGCCGGCGTAGACGTCGTCGAGGTCAGGATGCTCCGCGAGCCTGTCGCGAAGGTTGTTCATGAATTCAGGGTAGTTGCCTGTCCTCACGTTGAACTCTACGTTCTCAACTCTCACCGCCATCCTCTGATTTCTGATCTACACAATGATTAATTTGCAGTTATCAAAAACCGTAAATTGTACTCTCTCCTGTTTTATAGTACTTAACAGTTTAGACAGGGGTTGAGGTTAAACTTTTGTAACTTCATTTGACTATCAATAACTTTAAAATTATTTTGTTTAAAGGAACTAGAACAACATATATAGATTTATCTTTGAAAGTACATCAATAAAAGTAAATATACATTTATTTATTGTATATATATTATAATAAAAAACAAGGTAAAAGATATATTTTGAAAATTGTATCATTATTTAAAACATCAAGAATTATTAAACCAGAGGGATCGAGTTTCTTTGTACGAGCTATAGCCAGTAATATCGATCTATGAGTATGCTTATATACTAGTATATATGTTCTCTTGTTTCAGAAAAAAAAAAAACCAATTCCTGAGCTAGATTTTCTAGGACGGAGAGGGTGTATATGTCAAGCTGGATGTTAACGTTTTAAGGTACAGGTACACCACATTAAAAATGAGCCTTGGATTTTCTTTTCTCAAAAAAAGAAAAGAGCCGTATGATTTTTTTTCTCAACAATAAAACAAGAAATGAGCCTTTGTATTCTTTTGATGTTTTTATCTATGTTCTAGATGACAATCAAATTTGTTTAGCTCTCTAGCTAAGGTGTGTTTGGTTGTAGAAAAATATGTTGTTTTGATTCTTAGTAATCAGAAGAAAATTTAAGTTTTTGGTATGATCAACCAGCTGAATGGTAGTTTGGAATATAGGATTGTGATATGATATGTCTAGTAAGTAAAACACACATAACTGGTGATATATATTAAGATTCCGTTTGAAATACGAATATATATCATCTGTTTCCCTCCCGATGAAATCGTATCAACCTTTCTTTCATGCGCATGAGCTATACGATGTTGCATTCCCCGCAGTCTAATACTTCCAAGTTGCCCACAACTAAACTGAAAATTTGAATACAAAAAACCTCCCATACAGAAAAGGAAAGTTTCTTTGAATCGTTTTCCATTTAAATTTACTTTTAAATAGAACCCTTTTGGTTTACACTACTCGAGGTTGCATGGTACTACCTCCATCCATAAATATATATGGGATTCAGGTATTCAGTACGTATTATCTAGGTATATATGCCGAAACTTAATACCTCCATCCATAAATAAAAGGGATTCAGCTATACGTGTAACACAATAACTTAATATCTTCATCCACGAAGGATCCAGGTTATGCATATACCTGAACAGAGCCACTATTTTATGAATTGGCAATAATAATTTGTCACACCAACACGTGTAGCATGGCTAAATCCTTGCCATACGTGTTTTTAACCGGCCATGACAACATTGTATTACCACGCAGATATATGGATTGTGTGGTTAAAAGGATTCATATAAGAAAATGGTAAGTTTATGCAGAGTTTATTTTTAATATCAATGAATTATATATATACTATTTTGGTAGCCTGAAACAAGCCATCACATTTGATGTAAAGGCCTATAAATTCCTACGTTAATTAATAAGAGAAAAGAGAAAGATTTGAACGGTTAGATTATGCATGATAGGTCCAAATTATAACAGTGTAGATTGGTCAACAAACTTGTTTACGAAATACAATTGTATTTATAAAAACATAATTAAGTAAGAGTTGTATATCACATAATTAAACAAAAAAAATATGTGTTTTCTAAAATTCACCCACAACAAACTCGCACGATAATCTACTAGTTATTGTATCATCAACAGAGGTAAAAACGAGCAAACATATTCACTAGATCTGGAGGCCACAAAATTTCCGTATAAATCCAAGAAAAAGAAGATTTGCACCATTAGTTCATACTAGGTTCGAATATTATAACAACGTAATTAACATTACTTTTAAAAAAACTAATAAGTGATTTTTTCCAGAACCTATACACATGTCGGATTCAAAACACCCGACACAGTTGAGTGGAGCTTATTGGTGCTAGATTTACAACCGACACCAATGTGGAACGATGAAAAAAAAATCAATTTTTAGCATCCCTATATATTAAGAATTTTCGGCAGCGGAGGAGGAGAGGAGGAGGCGCTACGTTGGCAGTGATAGCGGCTGTAGCGAGGAGGGTTAGGGAGAGAGCGAGAGGTTGGGACTTGGGAGCGAGAGAGAGGAGCAACCTGATCGAGATCGAGAGAGAGTGTGTGCGCGTGCTAGAAAAGGATATAAAAAAACTAGATGGGCTTGCTAGTGGTTGGATTGACTCCATCCCTAAAGTTGCGTATTATTATTTTTTAAAAGAAAGGCACTTGTATCCCACTTTGTATCCCACACGTACAAGTATCGGTTTATTAAAAAAACACAGATATTAGGGTTGGTTTTATTAATAAACTGATATATATGAGGGTGTCCTCTGAAAATCATCACTAGTGCTGGCTTTTAATTTTAGGCCTGCCTGATGAATTGGGAGGATGGAAATAGTCTGATAGATGAACCGACGTATACGAGGGAATCCTCTATTAGGGTCTTTGTAAATTGATCGGCATATATACTTGTATACGAAATAGAATTCTACTTACCAAAACAGCATGAAAAGTTGTACTAGTATTATCAACGTAAAATGGGAGTTGTACTACATCAAATCTAGCTAATTGAACTTCACACTGGTGGAGAAATGCTTTCTAGTCCCGGTTCATAACCCCCTGTAGTCCCGGTTTTCCAACCAGGACTACGAATCCAGGACTAAAGATCGCTATCTTTAGTCCCGGTTCAAATAACCGGGACTAAAAATCAATCTTTAGTCCCGGTTGGTGTTACCAACCGGGACTAAAGATGGAAGCATCTTTAGTCCCGGTTGATAACACCAATCGGGACGAAAGATATTTTTTTCTTTTTTTTCTGCTTTTAATATTGAATATTGATTTCACACAATCCCATCCCATATCCAAATCATCACATATTACAGAACATCTCCAAATCCTCAAACAAATCATCTCCAAATATATCACAAACTCTTAAAAAAATTACATCACAAGATTCTAAAAAATTCATCACAGATTCACATCTCACACAAAAATACATCACAGATTCACATCTCAAAAAAAAAAGAAAAAAAATCCGGCCGGCGGCCACTGCCGCCTCCCCTCCGCGCCGGCCGGCCGGCGCCGCGCCGGTCGCCGCTGAGCGGCCGCCCACCGCAGCTGCCGCCTCCGCGCGGCCCCCGGCGCCGCCGCGCGGGGGGCCACGCGGCCTCCCGCGCCGCCGCGCCGGCCGGCCGCCGCCGCGCAGGCCGCCTCCGCGCGGCCCTCCGGACGGGCAACCGCCGCCGCCGGGCCCTCCGCGCCGGGCAGCCGCCGCTGCCGGCCGCCAGCGCCTCCACCACCTGCCTCCGCGCCGGCCGGCGCTTGCCGCCGCCGGCCCTCCACGCCGGCCGCCGCCCGCTGCCGCCAGGAAGACAGGGGAGAGAGGAAGAGGAGGAGGAGAAGGAGAAAGAGGAGAACGAGTGAGGAGGAGAACGAGTGGAGGGGAAGAAAAGCTAAGGATAAGACTGAGGAGCAGGGTCAGACAATGGACACGCGAAGAGATAAACATCGCGCTCGGCTTGGGGTGATTTTTAGTCCCGGTTGTTCTAAACAACCGGGACTAAAGATGGATCTTTAGTCCCGGTTGTTTATACCAACCGGAACTAAAAATAATTGGGGCCTGACACGACCTGACAACCTCTTCAACCGGGAGTAAAAATGATCTTTAGTCCCGGTTGGTGTTACCAACCGGGACTAAAGATCAAAAAATACCCCTAAGTTTTTAAACCGGGACTAAAGATGCTTTTTAGTCCCGGTTTTTATTGGAACCGGGACTATTGTGGAATTGGGCCGACCGACCAAAGATGGTTTCTCCACTAGTGTCAGCATAATTGTTATATTGTTAAAAGACAGGTAAAAAAGTAGCAAATAGTTTTATTACTATATAGACCTAGAAATCCTCACATAATTGGAGAAAAAAGTTTGCATAGTTAGTTCGTATATAGTTAGTCTAGATTATAGTGTGTAGATTTATTGTTCGTATACACAATATAATTATATTTAATTGAGAAAACAAAAGCGATAGTTTTATATCAAATACAATATTATTTTTTATATAAACAAAAGCTAGAAAAAGTTGTATATGTTCTACTTTTAAGATCTTTGCTCCGCGTAAAACTGTCATAGGAAATAATTGTATACTGCTATAGTGAAAAATCGTTTTGCGCTCTGTCTATCTCTCTATAAATATATTAATTTGTTATTACTGCTCTGTAGTGCTCCCTCCATTTCAAAATATTTGACACCATTGACTTTTTAATACGTGTTTGACCATTCATCTTATTCAAAATATTTAAGTAATTATTTATTCTTTTCATATCATTTGATTCATTGTTAAATATACTTTCATGTACATATAAAGTTTTACATATTTCATATTTTTTTTAAATAAGATGAACAGTCAAACATGTGCTAAAAAGTCAACGCTATCAAACATTTTGAAACGGAGGGAGTATGATATTAATAGCTAATATAGCTAGCCTCTGAACAAAGAAAAGATGCTTAGGCTTACAGTGCGATCGGTCGAGCAAGCTTGCGGGGTAGGACTCCAGAGCCCAGACGTGTACGAGCTGGGGTAGCTTAATTAGCTTATTAGGCAAAGCGAACCGAATACAGAAATGATCGATGTGTAGTTGCACGCCGCGCGGTTCTTAATTTATAGCTGCAACGAAGCAGTACTTGACCAGTAGGGTACGTATGGTATTTACTGCGTGCATTTTCCATCCTGCGATCTTATACTGCATGCACGTCCTTTTTTGCGGACGTGAGGCGGTTAATTAATTTCTTTTTCTGAAACAGCGCTACTAATTTTATTGATCGACATTAATTAACTGTAAGATCTAGAAGACTATAATGTGTGAAGCGAGCGACGAGGTATATATAAGATCAGTGGCGGATGCAGGATTTCGAAGGTGGGTATTCAAAAATTTACAGCT